AATGGCAACCCCTCTGTGCCCCCTGGGTTGGGCTCCTGGATAAACCACCCTGTGTGCTCTCATCTGAAGAGCAGCGATGATCAGTCTGTATCACAAGTTGTAGCTGAGTTAAAGGCAGCCTTCTGGTGGTCAGGGCTATAAACCAACTTGTGTTCCAAATGCTGCTGGGCACCACTGTATCTCATCTGTGTAACCTTTAGAAACCAAGGGGGCAATCGCTTACTGTCCAGCAGCATGCACCAGCTTGGGCAATTGGTGGCTGTACCTTAATTTACCTTGTTACATGAATTCCTTACTGATGGCCACAGGAAAGTCCCATTCATGTAAGATGGTTGTTTTCTTAAGCAAAGTCAAGGTAATGTTTCTTGGCTGTTAAACTGCCATTGCATAGGGACTGGATGTGCTTACTTGCTGACTTGATCATTGGGCTGAGTTGCTTTTTTCTCAAAGTAGTTTTTGCTGCTGTGTAAACAATGTTGATGTACAAAATATGCTAGCATCTTCTCTGTGCTTTGATAAACGGCTAAAACCTGTATTTATAGGCACGTTGGCAGGCTCCTATGAACTTTTGTGCAAAGGATAAAGAGGCTAGAAGCTTGCTGAATTTTCCATCCTTCTGATGCAAGAGCATCACTGTATGATTAATGGCCTTGCTTCTAAGAGTAGGAGCACAAGAGTAAAGGATGTTTTACTAATACGTTCTGTTCTTAAGCTTAATGCTGCTGTCTGAACTCTGTGTGCAACTAAGAACTTTGCTTTAGGATGCTTACCCTTTGCTTAACGCCAAAAGAACTTACCAAAACAATGGAACTGGAAGGCATCTCGATTTCAGAGTATAAACTAAGCTCTTTACTGCTTTCTATTCTATTCCATAGTTAAATTTGGTTCCTGCAGGAGTTGATCTAATTCAAAGGAAGAACTTTAAAGCTCATACCAGTGATATTGTGTGACTCAAGAAACTGCAGGATGGGTGTGCGGGCTGATCTGGGGGCTCAAGGGCCAGAAACCTTCTGGAGCAAATGCTGCTTGATCTCTTCCAGAATCAGTGGGCAGTTCTACCATGCTTGTAAGAGGTTGTCTTTGTTCTTTACTGTTTATTTGGAAATCAAATCTGATCTTTAGTTTTAAACTTTTTCTGGAGTTAAAACCCATAACGTCTGTACTCTGATTATACTTACCTGACAAGGAGAAAAATTTCTCATGTCTGCTACTTTAAACTACATTGAGACTGTAGTTGTCCTCCATCCATCTTCAGCATTTACGTGTCTCACAATTCTGATTAATGGAAGTAAAAGAACGTAACGCATCTTCTTGTGGTCTTACCTGAGCTTTGGTAGGCTTGTGTCCTTTGCGTACAGTTTGTATCTGAAACTGTCCATGAAATCTAAGGTAAGGATTCAGGAGGGCCAAATGAAACAGGATTTCAGCTAGCGTGTGTGTACCTCCATGTAGGACAGAAGTACTGCAAGTTTAATACTTAGGCAAGATTTTTATTTTTTTGACTTAGATTCTCTTCTGTGGAATTGCGTTCAGCTTCTCATTCTGTGGTTTGGTTTGTACTTGTGCAGCTGATTGTTGTTACTTCGTGCTTATCCTTATTGAACTGCATCCTTCTTATTTCAGACCGTTGCTCCAATCGGGTAAGACCTTCCTGAATTCTGTTCCTTCTGTCCTGAGTGCTTGCAGATCATCTGCAATTATAAAGATAGTCTGTGCTCTGCTGCCCAAGTTGTGGATTAAAGTATCCCAAAACAGACTCGGAGGCCCTGGAGAGCTCTGTTTGATGCATCCTTCCCTCCCGCTGATCCACTGGAGAGCCACGTGTATGGAGTAGTTGATCAGTTGGACCTTCTTTGTGTAAACCACCATCTTAATTATGGAAAAGTCATTCAAGGTGGCGTTAAAAGCTCTGCTGATTTTGTAACACTATGCTTATATCTTGTGTTCTGTCTATATGAGGCCTGTTTTGGTTTTTTTTTTTTTTTCTCCTCATAAGGATTTTGTTTGACGTAAACCTCTGAAAAGGTGCCCCATGCTGCTTTGCTCAATAATGGATGATCCTACTTTGCTTTGTTTTTTTTGTCAGAGGTATTGAGCGTGGTTGTCTGACCTGTTAGCCGTGTGTTCTTCATGCTCAGAGGTGGTACCTTGGCCTTTTTTGTCTTCTCCATCATCCCTGTTCACGTTACAGTCAGTGACATTGAGAACTGTCTGAAGTGGCGCAGTGGGAGCTCTGTGCTTTGCCGCCTCGAAGGAGATGTGGTACTACTCAGGAGCTCCTCTGGCTGTGGCTCTCAGCTGCTGCCCTTGGCTGGTCACCTAAACGTCCCTTTGGCTGCGTGGGAGCCCTGATGCTCTCGGCTTTCCTCCAAAGGTGCAGCAGCAGAAAGGCCTTGTGTCAGTGGGGGCTGTGCCTCAGTGCCCTTATTTCAGTGGAAGGCATCTGTCTGGGTGCTTCAAGTTCTGCCAGCTTTCCAGGCAGAGTTCTATGGAGCTGAGTCTGAATTCAGCGTATGTCCTGATTACCAGCAATAGGAGGATGTGCTCCCAAACGTGAGGGCAGAGTTTGGGTATGGTTTAGACTTCCCCTTAAAGGGAAGTTTGCTGCTGCGAGTAGTCAGCTGATAAAACTGTTGTCCTTTAATTTTCGGTCACCTTTGTCACCTTAGAACTGGTTAGAAACAGTAACAGTGGAGAGTGCAAAGGAAACCATTGTGGTGTCTCTGGTAGGACTTCAGGGAGAGCTGAGACATTTTTACAAAGGATACAGTCTGCATGTTTAATCTTCCTATGCTGGTTGCCGGCAGCAGTCTCTGGGTCTGGGACCGTGTGCCCTCAGCAACCTGCTGTCCTCTGCAGGGCTGGAGGAGGAGCTGGAGGTGCGCAAGCGCCCACAGCTGCGTGTGCTCTGGGTCTGCCTCTGTGTCCTGGGCCAGACGCGGGGTGTCAGAACGGCTTCTGACACTTCGGCTGTTATGTGGCTCTAGATGACACTACTTCTGTATGCAGTTTGCTCAGCTAATTCATCAAACTGAAGAGTTTTTAGCAATTCTCTAATGCTTTACTTCTAGTGTGGTTAAAAATAGGTGAAACTCAGCCATGTCAGCTCAGGCCTGCATGTCACCGCTGTGGGTTTACTTGAAGATCTAGCTATAGAGTGGGAGCAGTTCTCTTAATTATCTGGGCAATACCAAAAAATTTCAACAGCAAGATGTGTGATTGAGAGCTTAACAGGAAACCTTCGTACCTTTCTGGATGCTTTCTTAGTACAGTGGAAGGACGCTGCGCGTTGGGTATCGGTGTAAAAATAGCTTGGATGGAAGACAGGCCCGTTGGAAGGTTGGAAGCCACAACTTTTCATACCTAGCAATAGCAACGGGGTTTTGTATACTGCAAGTAAATGCATCTTGGAAGATAAATGACTTTCTGTTTACAGCTGCTCTCTGAGGAGGAGAATTTTCACATCTCAGGCGAGTGAATTAGAAGAGCTCGACCCCCACCTTCCCTGTAAGCAGAGGAAGGCTGTATTATTTGCAGGTGCCAATTGCTTTCTCATGCTGTCTGCGTATCACTCAGATGCCCTTTATCTTTTGTTACTGCATTTGCTCTCCTGTCATTAGCTGACTGTCACACATCATGTGTCTTCTGAAAACCTAAGAATCTCTGACTGGAGAGCATGGTATTTGTCAGCTTGACCAGGCCGCTTCTGTAGCAGCCTTCAGGCTGAATTCAGATGTGTGTGGGGGGGTGAAGGGAGGAGATGGGGTGACAAACCCTGCGAACAAATGATTCCTGATCATCGCTGGTACGGGGCGTTATTGACCTTGGAAGGTTGCTGGGAAATAGCTTCAGACAGAGTTCTGTTATGGTGCTGCTGTTTTGATGTTCTTAAACGGAAAGACTTAAAACAGCTCTTCCCAAGTTATTTAAGAAGGGCTCTCGTTGTGTCCCTGTGCTTCTAATGTTGGTGTAAGCTTCTGTTTTAAAACCCGTGATAAAAAAGCATGAACTATTGGTAACATTTCTACAGATTGCTGAGTCGTGTTCTGCAGTTGTGCTGCAGCTGTATCAGTGTGAGGATAAACTGCAGTGCTGGAAGAGGACTTTTTAAGTGTAATGCTCTGACACAGCTGCTGGCAGTGAAGGATTCTGACTTTGTGCTTCATTTCATATTCTGTAAGCAACAAGCCTGCAGATGAGTCCTCGGATAACTGTAGTCTTCAGATAGCACTGCTGGTACTGTTGCTGCCTGTGGGGGAAATATTTGTGAGCGAGGAGGGTCGGGCTGTCAGAAGAATTGAGTGGCAGAGTCTGCACTGCAGTGCTTGGTTCTCAGAGCAGTTGCTGTCGGTGCTGTGAGGGCTGGCAGTGCCCCACTGTGCTGGGGAGCAGTGGGCAGGCTGCGAGGCATGGGGAAGTGCTTACAGACATAGCACTACCTGAAGTTCTCTTCCACTTTGAACTTGATCTGCTGTGCAATTGTAAGTAACTTAATCTTCTGTAGTTTGGATGTGACATATGCTCTGATTCAGAGGCCCAGTTTGAGGACTCTTGTGTTTCTAATATGGAGAGAGCTGTGAAGTGGAACAGAAACACTGGGTACTGTTTGCAGAGAATTCTGTGAAATATAATGGAAAATGTGCAAGGTACCCTTGAATTTAGGAATATGTAGCACTATTACACAGGTTGCCTGCGGGAGGCTGTCAGCATGCTAGGAGGGGTTCAGTAATAGCTTTTACAGTACAGACCTTGCTTTACAGGAGCAACTTGAAATAGTGTGAATACCCATAGGGCTTGGGGATGATTTTTTTTTAATCAGTGTGTCTCTAATAGAAACCCATAGGAACAGGAAGGATTTCAGTCACTGAGCTCTTCTAACTTTTGGACATCAGTGTAATTTGTCTGAATAGCTAACTTCCTTTCATGCAGGTAGAGTAAGAGTTGGCATTTTTATTACGTGTCCATTTTCAATATCTCTGTTTGATTCTTGGATCTCATAGGAATCCGTCAACTGCATTCTACCAAGCGTTCCATTTCAACAAGTTACGTGAGTCAAAGACCTTCTGGGATAGGTATGAATGCTTCAGTATGGGATGCATACATGCTGAGGTATGCATGAACAGCTTTGCTCCATGCAAGTTTCTCGTCATTTCATTTGTGCGGAAGTGTTGCTTGTTTTCAGAGCTTCGTATTGGACTTCTGCAGCTTAGAAGTCTGAAAGCAGTCATGGAAGTGAGATATTTGTATGTAAGCTTGAAATGAACAAGTCTGAAATACTCTGACTTTTTTTCCTCCTTCCATTATGCATGCATCAAACATAATGTGCAACTGAAAGAGTTTCATGCTATCAGCTGTTAGCTGGCATTCGCTAAAATGTTTGCAGCTTCCTTTTCCCCAGAGAAAGGAAACTGTCGCTGTGGCTCTTTAAATTCTATCTCAGAAAACAAGGTGTGAAAATGGTGTATTTAAACACAATTTTGATGAAGCTGAAATGTTTTGGGCTCGGGGCAAGGGAAGGAAGCTTTGTGGCTTGCATGTATTGTGCTTCAGTTAAGCTGGGTGGGTAACAAACGTGACCCATCACAAGAGGCGAGGAGGGATTAAAGCTGCTGTGTTGGCATTGAACTCATGGCGAGAAACTGCAATGAGGTGCAACAAAGGCATATTTGCTGTAGACGTGGCTTGTCAGAGATGCATTACTAATTCATCAGTAGCTGCGAGCTGCTTCTTCCCCACACTTAAATGATTTTTAAGGTTTATTTTTTTGTCAGTGTTAAGTCCTAGCGATTGTGACTCCGTGCCTTGTGATGCTCTGGCCTGTCACAACGCTTCTGCTTAGCAAGCTTTGTGAAGTGTGGATTTTGTTCAGTTATGAGCATTGATAACGATGTCATCATTGTAAGAGCTGTGCTGGACTTGAGAAGGCTCCTCACCTCACCAAAACTTAACCAAATCCTTCCAAGTTTGCTTGGCAGTAGTTTGTGTACAGTGCGGTACTAATGCATCCTGCTGGGCTGTGTTGAAGTTCTGGCATTGGGCAGGGTTTGAAAGGCACGTGTCCTTGTTGGGTGGAGCTGTGAAGAGCAGTGCTGTGTTAAGCACGAGGTGTGTGGGGCTGTGTTGGCGCTGGGTTCAGGGTGGCCTTTATAGCAGTGAAACAAACGGCAGGGACTTGCGTCAAGATTTGGCACTGCAGCCAAAAATACACTTAGAGGTTTATCCTTCGCTTGTTTCTCTGTTTTGGTGTCTCTTTATTTGAAACCATTAATTCTTAAGATGTGGAAGCAGATTAAAAAACAAAAAAGCAACAAAACCAACGAGAATTGTTTGCAATTAAGATGCAGGCTTCACAAATCCCAGGTTAGTGTATAATGTCCAAAACAAGTACTGGAAATGTGGAATATAGAAGTGTTGACAAAAAGGAGGTTCGGCGATGTAAGTGCTTTCTTGTGGAGGTATCATCCTCCTATCCTTGCAGTTGAGCATTTCCTGATAGAAGTAAGCATTCTTTTGAATTCCTCAGGATGCCTGTTTCCCTGTTCTGAAGTGTAGGGGCTCCCATGCTGCACAACATAAGCCCCAGCAGGCTTCTGAATTGCATTCTGCAGCTCCTTCAAAACTAGTTTGTGAACCTCGGGAGTTCGGTAGGGGATGATCTCCCCGTGTAACAGTAAGTTGTTCTGCTCTGCACAAACAGAGGCTCTCCTTGTGTGAGCAGCCATCTCTGGGGGCTGTTTGAGCCCTGCAAAGCTAACCACACGCTGTCAGAATAGGCACTAAAATATTGCTAAACATCAAGTGAAACAGGGATGGGTATTTTTCATTGACACGCTGTGGCAGGGAAGGAGCTGAGGGCATTCAGCCATTGAACGACAGTGAAATACTCGTTATTGAGATGCTCATGAAAAGTGTGCAGGTGCCTTCCCTGCTTAATTCTGGCATGGTGTTGCTCAGAGCTCGGTGCAGTGCCCATCTGGTGCCAGTGCAGAGAAGGTTGAGAAGAGGAATAGAGGCTTTTTTGGCATTTTCTCGTGAATCTGGATGATGACTCTTCTGTGAATTTTCTCAGGGCAGCACTGGTAGTGTAGGATCTTCAGGTGGGTTTTGAAAACATAGCCATTATTTTTGGTAAACTTGAATTCCAGGCAGTATGATTATGCTTCCACTGCGTATTTGTATGAAAGATTAAACTTTCACAGTGTAAGTTGACAGGATGTGGATTTTTCTCATCATGTGAGCAGTCAGAGGTGTGTACTTTGCATGTTGCTGCTAAACATCCTTCTCATGGGAAAGCAGTGAGTTGGATGAGGTCTCCCCCACGGCAGGCTGTGCTGAACTTCTCTTCGCCATGCTGCAGCTGTCTGTCAGATGAGGTGCTCCTCTTTGAGGGAGGCCCGTGTAACATCTCGTGCTTTGATTGCAGCCTTATTGGTGATTGCTTTCAGGTGGAGCTTTCCTGATTTGAAGTTAAGTCTTTATCTGAAATTATTTTTAAAAATAACAAAAATATCAGGACCACGTTTCTTTCTGACGTTGGCTTCTCGTGGTAGGCGTGGGCAATGTGAGTACCTTCATACACAGGGGGAAAAATGGTTTATTTTGTTAGCATAGCTTGATCTTACCAGGATTACAAAGGAGCCATGGTGCACACGCCTGCCCAAACCTCAAACCGATTCAACTGACCCAGGTCTTGTTTTTCCCCTAAAGAGTTCAGATATTTCATAAAAACTTGTGCGTTGCCTCTGAGATCAGTTCTTATGTTGTATTGAATAAACTGATCTTCAGAGCTTCATGTAAAACTGTAGAAAGTTTGCTTGTCCTGGGGAATCAGGTACTTGTTTGATAGCCAGCGACAGTGTGGCTTCAGTAGAGCTGCAGCAGAAGGCCGGCACCTGATGTACCCCTGGGCAGGGAGTTCAGCCCCCCAGGGATGCCCTGGGCAGCCCGTCCCAGTGTCTGACCACATCCTAGGGAGAATCCTACCCACATGCAACCAGAACTGCCCTGGTGGATCTTGAGGCCATTCCCTCGCACCCTGCAGCTTGTCACTGAGGAAGGAGGTAGGTGCCCACATGGGTGCGGCCTTCTGTAGTGAGCGTGGGGGGCGCTGAAGCCACCTCCAACCCAAACTCTGCCTCTGCCCATGAGCTGTGTTTTCCAGTTCCCTCACAGCTGTGCTGCTCTTCTCTGTATGTGCTTCAGCAGCCCAGCATCCTTCTTGCAGTGAGGGACCCCTGAACTGGGTGTTTGAGTATTTGAGTATTTGAGATGTGGTCCCACCAGGGCTGAGAACAGGCATGGTCCTGCTGGCCGTAGTATTTCTGGCACAGACCTGGATGTTCCTGGCCACACAGGCCTGCCGCTGGCTTTGTGTTCAGGCAGCACCCCTAGCTGCAGTGCCCCCAGCTGTACTGCTGCCTGGCTTTAACTCCATCTGCAGCGACCTGGGCCCAGCCATGCAGAGCCGGGTTTCTACCTGGTGAACAGGAGTCTGTCCACAAGGCAGTTTCTCTTGGAGAAGTTCTGTGGGAAATAACATCAGTGCTGTGCTGAAGTCCAAGAAAACAACTTCAGCAGCCTTTCCTCATCCATGAAGGGGGTCACGTTGTCACAGAAGGAGATGGAGCTAGTCAGGTAGGACTTGCCTTTCACAAATCCACACTGACAGGCTCTGATCACCTGCTTGTCCTGTGTGTGTGGTGTGATGGCACTCAGGATGATGTGCTGCCTGACCTTTTCTAGTGTTGACTTCCCTCCTTCTGCCATATTGATTGTCTGCTAGCTGCTTATAGAATATTTGTCTGCTTCTTTGCCCTGGTTGGATTGTCCATAACAAACTCCTACCATAGTATCCTTCCCCTGCTTCTTACCCAGAGGCATTCAACCCTTTCATCACTGTGATCAAGCTCCATGCGCTCCAGACCTTCCCTGCCTCACCTCCTCTCCTTTCCTGCCCTGCTGAGTACCTGAGCCGTCCATCCCAATGCCCAGCATCTTGCTGAGCCTGCGCCTGTCGTACCAGAGTGCTGAGATGAGGCCAGGAGTTCCATTGGTCCCTGCCTGTTTCCCACACTACGTGCCTTTGTGTAAGGGTGTTGAAGTTGGGCCTGTGTCACATGGAGCAATTCTCTTATTGAACACTCGGTGTTTTACTTATGGAATGCAGGCTTTGATGGTTTAGCAAGGAAGGCTGTTACTTTCTCAGTCTCAAAAGCTGATTCCCTCTTTGTATAGAGATCAGCGGTGGTGTTCCTGTGAGCCTGGGTTAAATGGACTTGTCCAAAGAGCAGTGTATTCTTCCAGCAGCTGGGCTTGGTTTCCTGTGTGTAACTAATATTTCTGAGCGTGCTGCTGCTACTCACTGTAGAAAGCAACAAGCAGGTTTTCCTTACAGTGTGATTTCAGTATGTGTTACATATTTGTGAAGAGGTAAGTTTCCCAGCCTGGCTGCAAACCTTGCCTTTTCCTGCACGCCAGCTTTTTGTGCCGTGGCTGCGCCGCGCTGATAGCAGCTCGCTCTGTGGGCAGCGTGTTGGCAGCTATCGCATGCAGCTGCAGCCCTGTGCCAGGCGTGGGGCTGTGGGCTGCAGTGGGGCGGCTGGGAGGTGGGCTGGGAGGGCAGCCTGCTGCTGGGGGAGCCGAAGCCTGCACCGTGCCCTGGGATGGGCTGCAGCTCTGCTCCGAATGGGGAGCTCAGTCTGCAGAGCGGGGAGCGCCTCTCTGGCCCCACGAGTCTGACTCTGTGGAGTTAAAAGGGGTTATTTAGTGTTTCAGTAGGGTGGCTTGAAAACAGTCTGAACGCAGGAAGGCTCGAGTTGCCCTAATGTGGGATTGAAAGGTCGCTTCAGCGCCGTGTGTCTGCAGTGAATACTGCTCTCCTGTCCCAGTGATGGAGCCGCTCTGTCACTGCGCTGCAGCGCTGCGGCTGTGCGGTGAGGCTGCTCAGATGGTTAGGTGCCATCTGCTGAGAATTCACCGAACCCTGTGTGGGCAGTGCTCTCACAGAGCCCCGCACGCGGGCAGGTCTCTGCTATCAGCTGTTGCAGAGCTGTAAAGGCAGTGCTGATGGGATTATTTCTTATAGCAAGTAATCTTTAAATGGATCCAGAGGACAAACGCTATCAAACTTCTTTCTTCAGTGCTTTTAAAAAACAATTTAGCAGAGGTTAAACTAGAGGTGAGGACCCCGTGAGTCTGTTCTCTCCCGAGCGAAGGTAGCTGGAAAACGAGGCAGGGAATGAAAGCAGCTAATCTATTGTTTGCTCCACCACTTGTGGGTGTCGTATGTCTCTTCTGAGGAATGATAAACTGAAGGTGCAGTGTGTCTTAGAGCTCTAACTGTGCTGTGTGGGGAGGGGGATGGCACACAACTTTGTGCTGTATGTGTGACACTGCAGCTTTGGCCTTGGAAATAATGCTCAGGAATCCTGTGGGTGCCAACAGGTGAATAGTTTGAAACAAACAATGCAGTAATGCTCTAACAAAGTTTTCTGCTTATATTTACAGTGCGTCTGGTGCAAGTGTTGTTGCCATTGACAACAAAATAGAACAGGCAATGGTAAGTAAAGCCCCAGGCTCACGGCTGAACGCACGCTCCCAGCTGTGCTGTCTTTCCATGTGTCCATAATATCCCTTGTTAGGTCAGACAGAGAGCTTTGCTTGGAAAAAAAAACTTCTCAGTATGAAGTATGGGACAACCACAAACCTGGATTGCTTTAACTTCTCGTGTTAAGAGCTTCTCACCTACATTGTTTGTCCTAAAGCGATTTAAAATGAATTTTTGTGTAAATTTCTACAAACAAGCTGATTGAACTTCAGGGGGTGCTGAAAATAACACACCTCTTAGTGGGGTTCGTTAATAGTTAGTCTTGTTGCTTCTCTGTGCCATGCTTTGCGTTCCATTCAGTGTCAGTTATATCCAGTTTGATTTTATTTATTATTATTATTGCTTGGTTCTCATACACCTCAGTGGTTGGCAGTGCATGGCACCAGACTCCCACCTCATCTGCTCAGAGCTGATGCTTTCCTTCAGGCTGGCCGGCTCCAGCTGTGGGCTTTGTCACCTCCGTAGGCTGCAGAGGGCCCGGTGCAGCAGTGATGTCCTGCGCGTGCTGTAGTGCCGCCCAGCTGTGTGCTCAGCGCAGGGAGATCGGTGCGAGCCTTTAATACAGCTGGTGTATGAGGCCCTCAGAAAGCACAGTGCCTGAAGGTCACTGCTGTCTTTAGTTTGGATGGTAAATGTGTGTAATGTAACAAAAAAGCCTTTCCGAAGTTCAGCATCTGCTCGTGCTGCTCGCACGCTATGGGCGCTCTCTGCCTGGAGGAGGATGGGGTTGCAGTGACTGTAGGTGTGGAGTCGCTGTGTGCCACAGCTTACTGCTGAGTGCCAGAAGGATCTTGGTGTAAGGGCGGCTTCATGCTGATTTGGGGAGCTGGGTTAATCGTCCTTGGGGCTCAAGGTTTTCTGTGTTTTCAGGGAGAAGTGCTTCAGCTCTCCAGCCTTACTGCTCGCTGAGTGGAAGAATTGTGGGCTCGGGGTGGGACGGAGGCGCTCTTCCAGGCGGTGTAACTGTTGATTTGTTCTCTGCAGGATTTGGTGAAAAGCCATTTGATGTACGCAGTAAGAGAAGAAGTGGAAGTTCTGAAGGAACAAATAAAAGAATTAGTTGAAAGGAACTCTTTACTTGAACGAGAGAACGCACTGTTGAAATCTCTTTCAAACAACGATCAGTTATCCCAACTTTCAGCCCAACAGGCCAACCCCAGTAGCACTTTGCAGGCGCAGGCGGTGACAGCGCAGCCTGCACAGCCAGCACAGCCTCCGCAGCAGCCGAATGTCTCCTCAGCATAAAGCTTTCCTGCCTCGTTTCAAAGCAGAAAACCTGAGAGCAGTCTGTCCTCGTGTGCCACTGATGTTCTTTCCACTTTATATGAAAGCGAGTAGCCATGCTTCTGTCGCGTGTTTGGCCTTCTCAGTATTAGACAATCATCCCACAGGAGCTTTCCCTGCCCGACGCGGGGCAGAGCGCCGCTGGGCTCCGTTCTGCCGTCGGGCGCAGGGAGCTGATGGCGGAGCTGCTCTGCACGGCCGGGGCTGCTGTGGAGGCGCGGCGGCTCCGCGGGGCTCCGTCGCTGTCGTGAGAAGCATCGATTCCCCGAGAGCCACTGTCCTTTCCATATAAGTAACATTTGCCTACATTAGTTTCATGTATGTTGTTTTATTTATTACAGGGCTGCTATTTTCATAATGTTCATGAACAATGTCACAGAACTTTTTTTAATTTTTTGATAAATGTGTGTATCGGTAAAACGATAGATGGGATTGCGTTAATAGGTAAAATGTTTGGGCAATAATTGAACAAAAGGATCCTGGCATATCTCTAACACTAATGGCAATTCACCTTGGGTATTTATTTACGGTAGTGAAGATCCAGCTGGAATGTAAATTTTGTATAGAGTGTAAGTATGAAGAGCATAGTGCATCTGTACAGGTAGTCACCAGTCCTTGTGATATAATAAAGAATGGATGGGCTATTTTGATGAAGAAAACTTTGCTCATTTCTGTTTCTACTTTCTGATAGAGAGAAATTGCCACGATTCCTCCGCTTTTTGACATTTCGTATAATTTTTTTTTTTTGGGTGGGATTAAAAAGCTGTGAAATTGTTCAACCTCCTTTGTAACCAAAGAAGCAAAGCTGTGTAATTGAGTTGTTTTTTTTTATTTTATAATGCACATTCTTTATGTATTTTTATTTAGTGTTTCCTCATTCACACCTTTCTTTGCTGTCTAGCATGATCTGCATGACCTATAATCTTCGAACCACTTTCGTACCTCATGTTTTTATCCAGCACTCTTATCGTAACGTGTATCAGTCTGTGAACAGCGTCAAGGAAAGAGAGAAGAGCCGCGTGCGCTGCGCTCGGGTGGTGGCGGTGAAGTGAGCCATCTTTTGTTCATTTAAAATGGTGTTTTGAATTTCGTATGCAGGAAACGTTTTGTTACATTGCAGATTTTAATGTATTTAATAAATGCAACATGCAGATTACGTGCAGTGTATACTGAGTATTTAAATTAAAATGTACATTTCATAAATACAGTTTCAAGAGAGGCCATCATTTGTGTCAGCCCGTGCTGCATGCGAGCCGAGGAACAAGTCGCATGTTAGTGGAGTTCCTGAATCAAGCGTTCGGAACGGAGACGAGACACAACCGAGCGGTGCGGCTGCAGCCGCCCTCCGGGAACCGCCTCGCTTAGCGCCGGGCTCGGCGGCCGTCCGCGGGGTCAGCGCCGGGATGCTGGCGGCTCTGCTCTCGG